AAAACATTTGTACTGACTTGGCTGGTGCTTTTTATGTAGCCTGTTGCGAAATGAGGCCACTATCTAGCTGAGCAGATGTATCCCCCTGGAGGACTTCTGACTCCCCCGCCCCTGTCCAGGACTTTGCATTTCTCTTTATTAAACCTCATCCTGTTTACCTCTGACCATTTCTCTAACTTGCTAAGTTAGAAAAAGTTTTCCCTTAAAAGCATTTTTGGAAAAGAGTGTCTAGATTGGCATGGACGCTTTGGCGCAAAAGCACTTTTTGTGGAAAAGCGTCCGTGGCCAATCTAGACGCGCTTTTCCGCAAAAAAGCCCCGATCGCCATTTTCACGATTGAGGATTTTTGCGGAAAACAAATCTGAGCTGTCTACACTGGCCCTTTTGCGCAAAAGGGACTTTTGCCCGAACAGGAGCAGCATAGTATTTCCTCAAAAAGCACTGATTTCTTACAGTAGGAAGTCAGTGCTTTTGCGGAAATTCAAGCGGCCAGTGTAGACAGCTGGCAAGTTTTTCCGGAAAAGCGGCTGATTTTCCGGAAAAGCTGGCCAGTCTAGACACAGCCCTGGTGGAAACCCACTGGGAGCAACGTCTACCGGCAAGAGAGGCCCGCTGTCAGGCTCTGGAATAAAAGCTCTGTGTCATCTGGGAACATGGGCGGCTGGGGGAGGTAAGACTCCAACCCCACTCTCAGCCCCGCCCCCTCGGATCAGGCCACGCCCCCATCAGAGAAAGGCACATGAGTCGAGCCTCCCTGGCCCTGGAGTACAGGGATGTCAGGTGTGGGGGACATTCGCCCTCCGCCCCCCGAATGTCTACAGGTTGGGCCTTCCCCCGCCTAGGCTGCAGGACACCATGGCTCGGAAGCTTGTCTTTCTCACCAACACAACTTGGTCCAATAAAAGATATTCTGTCCCCCCCCACACACACACACCGTTCCCATCCCTCCGACATCCTGGGACTGACCCAGCCCCAACCCCACTGTGCATGGCTTTAATCTGTCCCGCTCAACTGATTCCCTCTCACCTTGTATTCCTGGGCAGCCTCGTCTATGGGGACCACCGAGTGAGCTCTGTGATCTCTGGCTCTGTCACACACAATGCAGATGGGGGTTTGATCCTCCTCGCAGTAGAGTTTCAGAGGCTCCTGGTGTTTCTCACACACCCTCTCCCCTCCTGGCTTGGCCTGTTCATTCTCGCCCTTCAGCCGTTTGACGATTAGGTTTACAAGAGCTTCCAGCTGCCTGTTGGCTCGGAAGTTCCCCTGGGGAAAAACCTCCAGGCAAAAGGGGCAGGAGACAGCTGAGGTGGCTCCCTCCCACCACCGGCAGATGCAGGCACGGCAGAAATTGTGCCCGCAGTCCAGCGTCACCGGCTCGTTAAAATAATCCAAGCAGATAGGGCAAGAGGCTGTGTCTTCAAACACAACTGCTGGATCGGCAGCAGCCATAGCTCCGGAGTGCCAGGGCGAATCTGTTTCATTTCCTTATTCCCAGAAAAGGACGAACGCTTTGTTAACAACAGGGCGTTTCCCTGCTTGTAACACATTACCAAAATGGTTTTTTTTCCCTTCCCCCAAAAACAGCTATGTCAGCTTTGCAACTTGCTCTTGATTGCTCTTGGGAGAAAGGACTGTCCAATGGCCAGCAAGCCTCCTCCCCCCCCCAAAAAAGCTGTTCTTAACTGGGGTTAAAATCAGAGGGGAAAGCAAGCAGGCCCGCCGTGGTGCGCAGCTCCGGGAAGACTGGGCTGAGCTGCAGCAAAAGCCAGCAGGGAGCCAGTAAGAACTGGCAGGACCTCGGGTTGGGATAGGGCAGCACCTGTGAGAAATTTCAGTTCCTTTCACCCCTGGTTAAAATAGACCGGAAAAGAGAAGGAAACTCAGCTTTTCACTCCACTCAGCAGCTGGAGCGGAAGACCTAGAGGAGCCTGGAGTTGAACTAGAGCAGCTCCCCTGTGAAAAGTCCTAGCCCCACCCCTTCCACACAAGGCCCCGCCCCTTCAGCAACCGTCACTCTCCTCCATGGAGCCAAGCCCCACCACCCCAACTGGATCCTTCCTGACCAGCTGGAAGGCCATGCCATGGCCCCAGTTTTCCTCTGCAGCCAGGGAGCCGGGCTGTTGCGCCACAGCCCCAGCCTCTCCCAGCAACTGGGGAGCGTAGGCAGTTTTGGGAAGGCCATGCCTTCCCTGGCCTATATTACTGGTCACACATAGACACTGCTCTTTTCACTATGGTGACTATTTAGCAAGTGTGAAAAACCAGGACAGGAAAGTGAAAGGTCAGTGAGGCTACGTCTACACGGCAGGTTTTTTGCGGAGGAGGAAATTCCAATGGAGCGCTCATTTGCATATCTCGCACGCTCATTTGCATACCTTGCACTCTCATTTGCATATCTTCTTCCGA